ACTGAAATATTGAATGAATTAAGTCAATGAAGGAAACCTGACTAAATGAAAGACTGATCTGATACTGAATAATTTGTTCATGCGTTTCTTCACACTGGATACTGATAAATGTGTAAATACGGTTCATTTATACACAACGTCAACGAATAAGTTCGTCAAAAGAATGATTGATCAGTATCAAATTTTCGGCTAGTCTCGCAAGTGCCTTTTTCAAGTAATCTGGCTTGACTTCTGCAGCTGGTTGCGTAGTCCGCACCTGATGTTGCGTCCGGAGCAACTGGTGTGCTTTTGGACAATGTTGCAGGTTAAGTAGTTTTTGGGTTACGGGCATGACAAGGCCTGTTGAAACTGCTCCAGGGCAATGCATGATATCGAAGTAAAATTTTACTTGTCTTTAAAATTAGTTAACCAGATGATCAGCCATCGCATCATTTTGTTATATAAGGCATGACTAAAGAAACGATGTACGGTCTAGCTAATTAACAAGGCGAAAAATATCACTTATCACTTTTTTTTAAATGTCTAATCATTTTTTCAGTCAAATATACTACATTCAGCAAATCAATTACTTGGTGTTGCGAATGATTAAATTTTTAAATCGAACTACGTTTGCTATGAAATTAAATCAAATAAAAAAGTCATCAGTTAATCACACTACCAAAATAAGAACCGAATGAAGAATATTCAACGCCGCGTTTCCTGACTTAAGCCTGGATGATAAAAAGACCTCGGTCTGAGACCGGAGCGAACTCTCCGCAAAACTTAACCATTTGTCTTTCATGGTACTTATCTCATCGAAAACTATACCGGCTCAGTCGTCGCCTTGGTTACCAAGGACCGCGCAGGCTGTTCGGAGGTCTGAAGAAGCTGCGAAAGTTGGCGATCAGAAACTCCTAATCGGCCTCTGCTAGCAGCAAAACAACGACTGACGAAGACCGACCGAACGACGACGAAAAAAACAGTCAGAAACACAGTTGCTACCCGTTCTAAACGGAGAAGGCAGACAGTGCGATGCCATTATACCACGCCAGAAAAGGCTCCACGAGAACGATACCACAAGTGGGCGCCTACAGTCACAAATTGGAATATATCCAATATCCAAATCCAGAGGGAAAGAGCAAAGAGTTAGTTCACGAGGCCGTAAAGTATCAACTCGACGCTCTTAGACTCTCGTCAACAAAACGCCTAGGGTCTAGAATCCTGAACCTCTGCAGGTGCAAGCTATTCTAGCCAGGTGTCGATATTATGACGTTCACTCAGGCCGATGTTGGTGTTCTTAAAAAACCTAGCCTGACTAATAGCATCACAGAATGAAAGCTTTCAGGCAAAAGAGCGACAATCCTCTGACTTAAGCAACAATAAGCTAGAGCACTAACCTTGTTGCAAGCCTATGCGTCAAATTTACACGGAGAATGACTCGTACCTTGAGGAAGTAGAGTGTGTTTTACGAAGTGCCGAATCCAGAATCCTTCATTCTCATGGACGATTTTAATGCGCAGGTCGGGCAAGACATCGAAAAGAAGGGCGTGACTGGAAAGTACGGCTCTGAAATGCTCAAAGCATTAGCAAGGCAAGGCGTATGCAGGCCTACACGTGGTTACGGCTACGGAGAAGATAATAATGGAAAGAAGAACGGGCGTTACAGTACCCTTATTCAAGAAGGGAACCCACGGGGAATGCTCCATTTATGGCGGCGTCAACTTACTGAGCCTCCCAGATAAAGTCAACGCAAAAGTGCTAGAAAGGACGTGAGGCGGAACAACTGACTACAAAAAGAGCTATGTGGCATCCGGCCCTGTCAAAACACCTCTGATCAAATATTTGCCCTGCGCCAGATTACTGAGAAATCATGCCAGTCCGGTGAACATGCATTTTAATGACCTAGAAAACGCCAATGACCGAATCAAGCGCAACAGCCTGTGGTTATGCCTGTAAGCACGCGAGACATATATCGATCCGATTAATGTAACCTGATAGGTGATGCGTCAGGATAAATGGCGTTAAGTAGAAGCATTTCAACGTTGGCACCGGTCTACGCCAAGGA